TGAGGATAAAGTTTGCTCAATCGTTTGTTCCGAGGACTTTATCTTGATGCATGAATGATTGTGATTGGTGAGTCATTTAGACAAGTATGTTTTGGTTTGTGAGCAAGGTGAGAACTCTTCCTTTCCACTGTTCTATTGCATTCACATGTCATTTGTGGTGGATTTTAGGATTGTTGTTGTTGTTGTCCATGTGTTGGTGTCTAATATCCATTGTGATTCATTTGTGTTGTGCCCTATGAAATGTTCCAAATCTTTTCAAGAAAGAAGTTGTAAGATTATCTTGCTCTATACTTGGTTTGCTTGGGGACAAGCAAACGTTCAAGTCTGGGGGAGTTTGATTTGGGAAAATTACACAAATTTACCCCTTTATTTGTTGATTGTTTGATTATGTAATCATCTTCTCTCAACCTATTTTATGCCAGGTTGTGCTTTTTTTTATATTGCAGGTCCTAGTATGTGTGGGAAGGTCACGGACGAGTTTCGAGATGATTGAAGTTCGAAAAATGCAAAAAAAAGTAAAGAAAAAGCCAATGCCACTGTTTTTGGGGTAATTGTAATGGCCTCTGGGCCGTGACAATTGCAAGGATAAGAAGATTTTGCATGTCTCGCAGGCAAATCAATTGTCACGGTCACCAGACCATAACATTTTCCAACTGACCGTTACATTGGACCAAAATGACAACAAATGGTTGTGTTTTTGGATGAGATAACAGCCAATGTCACCCCGTGACATTGGCTCTCGGGCTGTATAATAAGAAAGCAACAGGGAGAGAGAAAGGGGAGCTTGTTTTTGGAGAAGAACTTGGTTCTCTCTAGGGTTTTGACCCAAAATACCAAAGAGGATTTCTAGAGAGAGAGAGAGAGAGAGAGTTCTAACGTGATCTTGGAGCTTAATTGGAGGCTTGGGTTGATCTTGAAGTCAAGGATTCAAGCCTAGACGATGAAGAAGATGAAGATATGGAGCAATTTTGTAATCTCTCACATATTCTCTTTAAACTAGACCTCTTTCTCTAAGGTTGATGAACCCTAGGTCTAGATTTTGATTTGTTGTTGATGTATGTAACATATTCTATGTTTGATTGATGATTTTATCTATTTGATGGATGCTTTCATGGATTGCATGAATTTGGATTCCACTTCATGTCAATTGAGCTGTTGATATGGGAGAGAGATAATCCCCTTAAAGCCCATTATTAGCGTCTTCGGGTCACTCCTATCATATATTGTCCGGGAGGGAGTTGATTCGATCAATCTCCTAGAGATATATGAAACCCTAGATTGAATAGAGCACCTACCCATCCATCACTTCGCCGTTCCGGGTCGCGAGTTAGTCGATTGAGCTAAGATAGTACTTAACATCGATCCAAATGGTGGAACTAGAAGGATTCAAACCTAAGAGAGCTCCAAAACTTGTAATTATCTAGGGTAGTGGTTAGTTTAGGTTAGCTAGATTAGTTTCTTAATCCTATTCTAGGTTGGCTACATAACGAACCCTCAACCCAAAGTAAAGTAAGCCTAGATCCCCGTGGTTCAAAATATGAAATCTCGTCGAGATTCATTTTAAGCGGTGTCTTGAACCATTGTTATCTAACTATACAAATCTTAAGTTTTATACTGTTGACTTTTATTTCGTTTTAAATTGACTTTTATGATACAAAGAAAGACACCCCCTTGGAAAAATTTCTAGCTCCACCACTAGGTAGGAGGGAGAGGGTAATGTCACATGGCGGGTAGAGAGAACTGGAGGAGATGGAAGGACTGGGGAGGAGATGAAGGGTGACAAGCCAGAGACTTCGGGCCGGCTGGCGAGTGGATGGCGGCATAGTCGGAGTAGTAGAAAGGAAGGAGCAATGACTGGGAGAGAGTGGGCTAGAGATAGAGAGGGAGGGTAGGGATGGCAATGGGTCGAGTTGGGTCAGATTATGCCAAACCCAAATCCAACCCAACGGGTATATCCGCCAAAAAGATTTGGGGAAAAACCAAACGGGTTTTGGAACCTCAAATCCAACCGAACCCCACTGGGTATTCGCGGGATCATGGATATCCATGGGTTCTCATGGACATAAGTGTATAACACCAATATCTTGTCAAAATAAAAGTTTAACACCAATTTGTCCATACAAATCATCCATGCCAAAAATACCAATCGAGTACATACAAGCAAACCCACAAATTATCCATACAAATTGTTCAATATTAAAGACAAACATCCACAAACGCGATTAATTGAACACTTCTTTCAGAACTTGAAAATTTTCATCTTAACTTAACATTCACCCATCAGTTGCTGAACGGTTCCTCTTCAGTTCGGGGTCAACGACCTATCGGTCGAACAAATCACAATTATCCTCATTACAAATGTCTTCTCCATAAGTGCATAATTTATTGAAACTAGCAGCTAAAATGAAACTAGCAAGTTAATATCACCATTAACACTATACTGGACTACATAGCAAGCATGGAGAGAAATAACTTACCACATCCAATGTCCATCATCAGCAATCAGCAGCCAACAAGCTAGCAGAGCAGTTAGTAAAAAAGAATTTAATTTATAGGTGAAGAGCATATTAGTAGTCAGCAGCCAATAGTTATTTCTAAACCCACTGCATATAACAACAGTCGGTAGCTAGCAAGTAAAGGGGCCAAGGGTAAAGGGATCCGTGGGGGTGGGTTGTGGGCATTGATTGTGGATATGTATTCATGGGTTGGATATGGCTAAACCCGAACTCAATCAAACTCGCAAAACAGTAGAGCGGGTTTAAACTCGCAATCTATCAACCTGGGTTTTATCCGCATTAATCGAGTTGGGTCAGGTAGAGTACTCGAGGATTCAGGTTTGGTTTCCATCCCTAAGGGAGGGGGGAGGGACAGATCAGTTTAGTTGATAAGTAAGAGACTGTGAGTTGGAGTTGGGGGTAGGGGTAGGGGAGTAGGGCTTAGTGGGGGAACCAGTTGTGGAATATGAGTGTGGACGGATATCCATGGATCGGGTATAGCTAAACCTAAATCCAAACCAACCCATTGAACAATGTAAACGATTTCAACCTGAAACTCAACCCCCAATGTGCAACATTGGTTTTACCCGTTTCGGCCGGATTGGGTTGAATAGGGTACCCGTGGATTTGTTGGGACTTTTGCGGACGAGGGTTTACTATCGATAGCCCGAGATCGGGTGACTGGGATTATGATAGAGTCATGAACTATGTTCACTTTCCCCAAAGAATATTTTCACTCTCCACAAAGTCTTGGGTTACAGAAAATTTATTCGTAAGATAAAACTATCACCATTTTAGGTTCTAGACTTAAGAACACTAAAGCATACTTAAAAAGCTTTTGGAAGAAAGAAGAAGAAGAATATGTTTAATCGTATCTGGCATCATCCACCCCACACATATATTTAGAGGGGCTGAATCCATGCATTATTTCATGAAAAGGTGCCTTTATATGTACGAAAGATTGCCTTTATCCATACGAAAAGTTACCCTTATCCATAGTTCATTCTTATCCTTAAGTTCATCCTTATCCATAAGTTGACCTTATCCATGAAAATGCAACCACCATGAAATCAAAGAGACATGTCCCTTCAAGGATTTAGAATATATGATTTGGTCAGTCTAACCAAAACCGGTTTGGTCGATCCAACCTCAAACCGATTTGACCCGGTTGATTTGGTTCAACCAAAATTTCTAATAGGATTCGGATCCCTAGCCATGGGTTTTTGAACTTTAGATGAGAAGATGACACTCATCAAAGTTGAACGCCCATTGGGTGGCTAAGTAGCTTGGATCTTGGTGGGCACCGAGTAGTTTCATCTCCAATTTAACACACATGAATAAGTTTTAAGACTAAATTTGAATTTCACCAAATAAATGAGAGTAGGAAAACTGAATTCTTATTAGTCACCCTAACTTGTACTCAAAATACCTAAACCAATCACCTTTTTCTTCACGCCTGCCGCCGACCACCATTACTGCCGCCCTATTGGTCAGAAAAGAAGGATAGGAGGAGACAGAGGAAGGAGAAGACATCGTCCCCCCGAGGTGGAGGCGTGGGAAGGGCATGCCGGCAGCCCGATCATTTTTTGTCGCCGGTGAGAGAGACGGCAAGGTGAGGGTCGCTGTCGGACACGACGATTACAAGCGCGTTGAAGACAGATGAGTGGACGGATTTGGCGGTGATGAGCTATGAAAGAGACGAGTGCGAAGGAGTGGTGAACTTATCCGGCTACCGGCTACTATGGACACGACGCTGTGGAATGAACTTATAACCCTCCGGCCTTCCCTTCCGTCAAATGAGCTAGCAGCCAACAGAAGTACTAAACATAGCTCTTGATGAGGAAATAGAATCCCTCCCGCGGTGGGTCTCCCCTCCGTCTTCCATTAATCGGCGGCGGCGGCGCTCCCCGACCCCACATCTTCCTTGTGTCTTCCCGGCCCCCGCATACTCCTGCCTAGATCTTGAAGCATCGCGTCTCGTTTGCAGACCATCACCGGTGGCGCACCAACCCTCGCCGTCGTTTCTCCCTTTTATTTCGCTCCAACAGCCGCTCCCATCGTGTTCTTTTTCCCACTTTCCCCTAGTCACTCCAGAAAAGGAGAATTGACAAAGTTTTAAAAGGAGAAAGTAGATTGGTGTTGGGAGAAATGGAGATGAATCAAGATGAAAGGAGTAGACAAGATGAATTAGGTGTTTGTTAGTTGTCATTTTGAGAAGAGGCCTAGCGAATTGAAGAAGGGATTTATAAATATAAAAAAAATGAAGAAGGGATTGGTTTTTTGCTTTGGATAGTGTTTTATGTGGTGAAATCACAAGTATATTGTCAAAACCTGCTTAATCCGGTGGAATTACGATCCGACTATTAAACATCAAATCTTTTGACAAACCAACTTGATAACTTAATCCAGTTTGACAACCTTGACTAAGGGCGACGAATAGGAATGGCGGTAGGAAAATTCCCAAACCTTTCACCCGCCAAAAACGTCGCCAAGTATGAAACGACATCGTTTTTCACTCTGTCTCTTCCTGCTCATTCTTCTTCCTCCAACCAAACCCACGCAGTAGAACGAAATCGAGTTCCGAAACCCTAGACCGATAGCAGAGGCAAAAGAAGGAAGAACCCCCCCTGAGATTACGAAACAATGGCGATCGCTCGAACAGGAGTTTACGTTGACGATTACCTGGAGTGTAAGTTTTCGTCAATCGCATTGTTTTTCCATCTCCAAGCTTCAATGTCAGCTTCTGTGTTCGCTCGCAATTCTTTTAGTATCTTCCTGATTCCGAGTTTTAATATGTGACTATAGATGCAAGCACGCTGCCCGCTGAGCTTCAGAGGCTTCTTAACACGATCAGGGAACTCGACGAGCGATCCCATTGTAAGCTAACTTGAAGCTCTGGCTTGCTCAAAATGTGGTTAGCTAATTCGTGTTATTGGATGTGCATTTTTTACCGAGTTATTTGTTTGAGTAGGAATTTGTTGGAAAGTTTGGCTGGTTGGTTGATACTGTTTTCGTGATTTGTATAATTGAAGCAATGATCAATCAAACGAGGCAACAGACGAAGTTCTGTCTAGGATTAGCATCGCAGAGCTCAAGGAAAGGTAATGGCAATGGCTGCAATAACTATAATGGTAATGAAGAGGACGACGCTGTCGAAAGAATGAGAAAGGAAATTGAAGCAAATCAAGACAATGCCTTAAGTTTGTGCACTGAGAAGGTTTTATTGGCAAGGCAGGCTCATGATCTTGTAAGGGTTTCTGTTGTTATCATCAGTTTGAGTGCGTGCAGTTTCTTCTCTATGTATTACTGAGTTTTGTCGCTGATCGAGAACTTGCTGCCACATTTACAAACAAAAATTAACAGTTCAAGCTTTTCTGGCCATTTGTTTTTTTCCTTTTTTCCAACTGGTTTTGTCTGAATAGGTGGGCAGTTTTGGAGTGAGTTCTGTGGGGAGTTAGTTTGAGTTGTTCAGTTGTTGGAGATACTCTATATTTTGCCCAATGCAATGTCCTTTCAAGTCTCAATTGTTTTTTGATGGCTTCTTTTGTATTTTACTGCACATTTGAAAAAAAAATCTCAGTGATATTATTTGATTGCAGATAGACAGCCATATAAAACGGCTTGATGAGGATCTGAACAACTTTGCAGAAGATTTGAAGCAAGGTAATCCAGATCACTTGAGATATAATTAGTATGCTTTCTTGAACTCATGGTATCTCAGAACGTCTGGCTGATGAATTTGACCATCTTGTGACACTCATTTTCTTGTGAAATAGTATGTCGGTTTATGCAAAGCCCATTATCAGCTTACTTTTATTTCTCTTACCAGAAGGAAAGATACCGCAAGATGAACCAGCTATATTGCCGCCACTGTCTATTATGATTCCAAAACCGGAAAAGCGTAAACCCTTGTATGGAACACCTCAATCAAAAAGGATGGATTTTAGGGACAGAGATTGGGATCGAGAACGTGATAGGGATTTCGAGCTCATGCCTCCACCAGGGAGCCATAGAAAGGATTTTGCTGTACCCGTTGACGTCGATCAACCAATTGATCCCAATGAACCAACCTATTGTGTCTGCCATCAGGTTCCGTCTTCCTTTCACCAACTCATCCTATTTTAGCTACTCTTGCTTCACCACACTTGGTTTTTGAAGTAGTATTGTAGAAACTCAGCCATGGTACTAAGTTGTTGAATGGTTTTTGGTTCTTCAGGTATCCTTCGGTGATATGATTGCATGTGATAACGAAAATGTGAGCAACCTTCTCTCCCATTTTGCTCTTTTGCCTGCTATTGTAGCTCAAGATTTCCACCACTTGGGTATTCCATGTCTGTTTCATATTAGCCCTCATGCTTTGTACTTGGTTTCGCAGTGCCAAGGAGGAGAATGGTTCCATTATACGTGCGTTGGGCTTACACCAGAGACTCGATTCAAGGGAAAATGGTACTGCCCAACCTGCAGGCTTCTACCTCACTGTCAGTGATGATAATACCATAATGTTTATAGTTCCAGTCAAACAGCAGGCTTCTTTTTTGCTTATCTATTTTTTCCTTCGTATTGATCTGTTGTTGTAGTTGCAGTTGCAACAATGTATTTATTATGAAAATGAATCTGATGTGAAACATATTTAGTACCCATGAATTTTTGCTGGGAAATTGTGCTCTGTTATCATGATGATTGATGAACTTCCTTTCCGGCTATTCAAGTGTCTCACCCTTCCCTGCAGCTAGGTAAAACAGAAGGGGGAAAAATATAGATAAAACAGAGAAGATTTGGTAGCCGTATGCCTCTAATCCTCCTGGTTGCTTGAGGCTCGACTGAGGTTGAGCACCAAATTCATGAGATGAGAGCTATGTTCAAAAGCCTTTTTTGGTGAAATAAGGGAAGGTATTACTCAGGATATTATTAATGGTAAATTGGGATTGTCCACTTGTGACAATCTAACGTTGAAACGATGCCTTGCGTACAGAGTGAATATAGATTAGCATCATTCACCAGTTGACCATGAACACTAGCAAATCACGTTACTATTTGTAGGTTACAGCAAGAAACTTGAAGGGGCATTTATATACGGAAAAAGGATTGAACTTTGGTGTCAAATGGCTTCCCTATTAACCGCCCAAGTTAACTTTTACTGGAGGTTGTAGCGGAAAAGTCAGCTACGGTTTTTCAATCCTTGTTTCTAGGTCTCTTGTTCCCTTGTTCTTGACGGGAAAAGTTTCCAACTTGCCATGGCCAGTTGTGTTGCTGCTCCTTCTCCTGCGCAGACCTAGTATTTCGTGACGGCGCCTTATTCCTCTGCGAATGACCAATGCTACTATTTAGCTGCTGCTCTCGTTCTTGAAGCAGCTTCTGCCTTGAATCCAGCTTTTCTTTCAGCTGAAGCTCCCTCTTTTTAGCTTCCATGGCGGCTTGAACAAAACTCAGCCTTGCCTGTTTCGCCTCAATATTCTTCTTCATAACGCAGTCTTCCACTTTCTCTTTACTGTGTGAGCTTTTCCTGATTGATTCTTCAAGCGATACTAATCTTTGCTCTTTCTCCTTGATCATCTCCTTGTACTCGAATTCTTTTCTTGCGAAGTCCTCCTCAAATTTTTTGATCAACTCTTCCATTGAATCGAGAGAGGTTTTCTTTGAGAGAAACTCGTAGTTTTGCTTCTTAACCAAGTTCCTGGCTCTTTCGAGGTCTTCATTCTTCATATCCAATTCGTTCTGTCTCAACTTAAGCTCCACTATACAGTCCGTGGTCCTCTTTTCCAGTTCAGCCAACTGGTTTTCCTTCGACTTGGATTCAGTATTCCAGTTTCTGATTGATTCCTTTACATTTTCCAATTCCGTCTTCTTCAACTGAAGCTGAGAACTACAATCTGAAAGCAATCTCTCCACTTCTTCCACTTGCTTGTTTCTAGACTCCAGCTCTTTGGTTTCTTTCTCGACCAACTGCTTTACTTTTCCATATTGTTGCTCTGTTCCTGTTCACATGGCAGTCAAAATCGAGATTTTATATTATTCTGGCATTGAAACCTGCATTTTCATGCAGAAATTGGTAAACACTACTAAATCACAATGGTGATATTATCAGAAACATTAAGTAATGAAGAATGTCATTTGAAGAACTTATGAGAATATTTTGAAAGACTTTTTATCAAATTCGTAAGACTTCATGTACCGTCGATCTTAGAAATTTCCTGCTACTCTGTCGAAAACAGAGGTAAAAAAGAACACAACATTTTCAAAGCTTTCTTTTACCTTCAACCTCCACACGAAGCTGATCCAAACTCATTTTCGCAAACCCTAACTCCTCTTTCCCTTCAAGAGCCTTACCACACTCCACCACTCTTTGCTCCACAACCCCTAACTTCTTCTCCTTTACCTGAATCTCTTTCACCACAACACCCAGCTGCTCTTTTGTAAACAGAAGCTCGGATTGAGCCCTGGAAAGCTCCATCTGAAGGGAACCCAGTTCGCTTTCTTTCTGCTTGCACTGTTTAAAGAACCCTTCAACAGCTCTGAGATCAACCACTACCCTATCCCTAGCTTCCACAATTTCCTTTTCTTGAAAGGCAATCTCTGCTGCTTGCTTGACCAGTTCTTCATTAATGGACTCGTAATGAAGCTCCAAATCCTTCCAGTCGAGGGGAAAATCGAGCACCGACGAAGCCTGTGAATGCATTTCCTCGAGTCTCTTGCGTAGATCCCTTTGCTTCCTCTCACCATCCTTCAGCTCCTCCATCACCTTCTCCATTTGAAAACCCTTATGTTACCCTGATCAGGAAATGAGAAGAAAAAGAAGAAGAGGGAATACAGATTTTTGGGATTAAGAGTTGAAGAATTTAAGAACGGGTAAGTGAGATTTATGATGCTTGAAGGTACAACAATGATGTAGTAAATGGGAAAGTGGCTTTGCTTCCTTCCATCTATTATTATCTCTCTTTCTCATTTGTCCTTTGGATGGATGCTCTCTTCTCATTTTGGCTCTTTGCAGTTTGCATGAGCAGTGAGAATCCCTTTGTCAGAAACCCTCATTCACTTCGTGCTCCATTTGTTGCGGAAATGTTTTCTATTTCATCTTTCTTTCTTGGAACTTGAGTATTCAATCTATCTATAAAATTAAAAATATAAGGGTAATAATTATTTATTAGCCAAACCTTTTTTAGATTTTTTTATTAGTTAAACCTATTCACATGCTATTAATTAGCCGAACGTAACTCTTTGTTCACTTTTGCTTTTGATGATGGTTAGTTGTCAGACGTGGCGCTAAGTCGGAAGGAATATTGTGACGTGGAAGTCAAAAAATGTCACATCAGTCAGTCAATCATTTATCATCTTATCCGTATTCTATTTTATTAGGCAAACGGCAAACCTATTGAATTACTAATAATTAACCAAATGTTAACTTTGAGTTAGCAATTTTGTTAGTAATATTGACTTGTTAGTAATAAGAAAAGAGTAACAAAATTATTAACAATAAAGTAAAACTGGCTAAATTTTGATGCATCACAAAAGATTTGGCCACTTATAAAAAAAAAGGTTTGGCTAATACAAATGAATGAGAAAAAAGTTTGGCTAATAATTAGTGTTTGCCTATTTTTATTTTAGGTTACCACTGGAAAACACAAACTATCAAGAAAATGTCATTTGTGTCCCAAACTATTCAATATTCCATTTATGTCTCAATATATGATAGTTGTATATAGTTTATGTCCTGAAAATTTTGTTAATCGTTATAGATAATGGTTGACCAGAAGGTGGTCAACTTGATGTTGACTTAAGAGTGGGATCAACAGAGCGATTAAGAAAATTTGGGGATTTTGTAATTTTTTATTTCTACTTATTTTGATCATTTTAAATGAAAATATAAATAAAAATTAATATTTGAAATTATCGAATGCCACATCAACACTGACTATATTTTCTATTGAATATTAACGGTCAAACTTGTTCAACACTAATGGATAAATAGTTCAGGACATAAATGTCATATTGAATAGTTCGGGACACAAGTGACACTTTCTTGATAGTTCGGATTTTCCAGTGGTATTAGCCCTTTATTTTATTCATTGATGTGGTGGCAACTAAGTTGGACGTTGAGGTGTGGCATTGTTAAGAAATAGTTAACAGTAACAAACTAATGGCTATTTCTTTGACGTGTTACAAAATGTTTGGCTAATCCGTAGTATTTCGATAGGCTTGGTTAATAAAATAGAATCCAAAAAAGGTTTGACTAATTAATAATCATTACCCAAATTAAAATTAAATAAAGAAGGTTGTACTTTTCTATCTAATCTATCGATTCAATACATACACTAAAATATCTTAATCAAATTCATTTAAATTCAATTGAATTGATGGATTTATGACCACATCCATGGATATTTTAAAAAATTACAGTTTAGTGTTTTACTTTGTATATTTACATCCTGATACTAAAAATTTATTTTTAATGAAAGATAATAAAGTATCATTAGAAATTATATTTTGTTACTTATTTTTTATTATTCTTATATTTTAGTGTCTAAACTTTTCAAAATTTTCATATTGATCTAATATTTAGATATCACTTGGATTCATTATACAATTTATTAATCCATTTGATCCATAAATCCACCAATCCATGTAGGGGGTGTTCAAACGGATTGGTTATCGTGGTAACTATATTAACCGGTAGTATTCGGTTAATTTGGTTTGGTTAATTTGGATAATTGGTTTGGTTTGGTTAAACAATTTAGCTTATTTGGTTTAGATGGTTTGGTTTCAACACTGCTAACCAATGTAACCATTTAACCAATTAATGATACACGTAATATATAAAATTATTTATACTTCCATGCAACCAATAAAACCAAACTTTCGTGGTTCCCTATTTTATTTCCATGTGCACAACAAACCAAAACATTATGGGTCAAAAATTAAATGGGCTTGCCTATTTACTAAACCAAAACATTTTGGACAGCTACTAGACTTTAGGATTACGTACAGTACTATGACAACCACATCAAACTATGTATAGTTTAAGTGTTTTGTAGGAGAGCTTTAACTTCTTGATGAGTGGTATCGGTATGTATTTAATATTTATGTTAAGGTTTGTTGTAAGATAACTATATTAAGTGCAAAGATGTTAAATGATGTATTAACTCGAATGATGATGATGATCATCATGGATGATTAGTCTTATTATTATTGCTTATATATAATGATAGTTTATGATAGTAATAACATATGGTTATATTTTATTCATTAACATCATGATAATTGATTTTATGTAATGTTATGTTATTTGGTTAATCCGATTATTTCGATTAACCAACCCAATTAAACTTTGGTTTGGTTAATTTGGTTTTCGTGTTAATTTGGACGGTTTGGTTAAGACATTTTATTCCATGGTTAATGAAATTTAGGCTTAATTGGTTTGGTTATTACCACGGTAACCATTTGAACACCCCTAAATCCATGAATCCAATTCATTTGCCAAGTCAAAATTTAGGCTTCCTCATTTCAAATTTATTTAACTTTTATGCATCCACATCAATACTTAATGCAACCAATAAGAAAAAAAATTACTCAATTTTCTTTTCTTTTATTATTTTTTTTCCAACCACCCATTGTCATGTGCTACCTATCATTCTCTTTCTCTCTCTTCTTTTTCATACTTATTTTTATTGACCGGTTTTTCTTTCATTTCAACTCCGAATTGAGATATTTTTGTGCAAAAAGACAAATTTTATGGGATCTACACAAGTATGTTCATTTTGATATATATTAAAACCAACATAGACATCACGATTACGTATTCAGGGGTATCAATATCATTCACTTCTATATCAATATACACGACTGCCTAATGTACCTTAAACCATGACTCAGACACGTTCAAATTCTACTAAGTTGCTAAACTATATCAATATCGTTCCAATTTGTACCAACATAATACATACTTCTATTATGTATGTAATTATAGTTGGGGAAAAACCAAAACATCTAACAAAATATTTTTCAGTTCCATCGGGCTCAAAGCTGGTAAGTAATAACTAATAACTCAGTCTCTTTGATATAAATGTTATTTTGGTGAACACCATAAATTTGGAGCGGGTTGGAGAATTGTGCTACAGTTAAGGATGGCAATTTGAATCTGCCCCGCGGGGTATTATTTGCCCTAACCCGGCATGAGGCACGTATTATCCGACCTGCAGTAGCGTGGGGCGGAAGATGGGTATCTACTTCTGACCCGTCCTGCCATGTCCCCTCTTACAATATCTATTCATGTTTATCCTATTTTCACTTTTCTTCAACTAGTTAGACTCAATTACCCATTCTATTATCAATATTTTTCATTCATAAAGCGTTTCCCCTTTATCATAAAACATAAAATTTTGCCTGTATTTTTCTAGATAACATGTAAGAATGGCTCGCCCAGCCCCATACCCTCACGTGTTACTAGTGCTTGGTGTTTGGGGGGGGGGGGGGGGGGGGGGGGGGGGGGTATGGGTAGTAAGGTACCTGCCCTCGTCTCATTGCCATCACTAGCTACAATATCCACCCCTATCTATTTAGTCATTAACTAGGTTGGAATTTGGTAAGTTGGTTTCTTACGATGCATAAATTTTTCTTTAGTTAAATTTAACGATCTTTATCTTTATCATTTTAAGTCGGATTCAAATTATTCTTGGCACATAAAATTAGATTAATCATGTTCTTCAAATGACGTCTCATCCTTTGATATATTATAGAAGAAAATTCAAACGATATATATTACTCTTCTATATCATGTTAATAATATTTGATAGTAAATAAAATGATATCATGATGGCATGAAAATGTGTTATGGTAAGATGAATATATAATAATGTAAAATATACTAACAATTATCTATCACATTTCACCATTGTCTATCACTAGTTACAAACCATATACCAAAGGTGGTATATTTGGTTCTGGAAAGTTTTTTCCAAAATTTGTAAGTAGTACTGGGTGGTATGAAAATATTTTTCTGAAATATATAAAAATATATATATATTATTTTGTAGATCACAATAAACTCGTTTTCAACTATGAAAAAAATTCGAAATAAATAAAGAAGATACAAACATATTAAAAAAGTACGACAATCTCGCCCCTTAGATATGTACGGCAAAATCAAGAAAATAGTTATTTATGTATAACCAAGTTATCCACTTACATCGACCATAGTCCACGTAGACCAATAAGACACAAAAATGTTGACCGCTAAACTTTCCCTAATTTTGGCGCTCTACTTCGTTATTTATTAGCTTTTCTTGTAAATCATAGTAATCTCCATGAAAAATATAGGGACTTGTCACCGTAACTTGCACCTTTAGGTCGATCTTATATAGGATTAGTTCGACCTAATATGTGGTTTCAGTTTTGTGAGGTTCAACGACGCGGTTGACCTTTTATAGTAAATGTCGACCTCGTACCAGATTAGGTCGACCGCGAAACCAACACTCTTGATCTTCATTTTACGTCAAATGGTGATGGATAAATGGATATGACACTTCTCTTATATCTGGTCGACCTCTTTCTGTAAATGGTCGACCATTTTGTTAATGATCGCCATCAAGTGGTCGACCAATATACATTTATGGTCGACCATTTTGCTTCCGACGCTAATGAAAAGGGCGATCGATGTTTTATTGTGGTCGCGGGGAGGATGAGTGCCGAGCCAGACACGCTGGTGCTTCTTCTAAATCTGGGGCCCCACCGGCCGTTGGGCTGGGGGACGACTCCTTTGTATTTCGAGGAAGGCAGCTTGCGGGACTCCGCCATGATCCCGGATTCCGGGTCTAGGACGACACTGCTGGCACCGCTGCCGATGCGGCAGAGGGATTCCGGCGGGGACTTGGCGGGGAAAGGAAGGAGAGCAGGTGGTGGGAGGAGGAGGCTCAAATTCAAGGAGTTCTGGGTGAGTGGAAAGAGGAGGAGATTTAGGGGTTTTTGGGTTTGATATTCTTCTTCTTACCATCAGCAGCAAAAGATGGCGACAATGATGGTTGTAGGTTGATGGGATGAAGATGATGTTGATGACGGAAGCGATTTAGGGTTGTGGGTTGCTGGGTAATTGGTCGGGAATAGGGGTGGGAAGGTCGATTGGAAGGGATTGGGAAGGTCGATGAGTGGAAAGGGAAGGGAAGACGGAGGGACTGGGGAAGGACGACGAGGGTGGGGGATTTATATTTTTTATTTTATTTTTGTGTTAAATTTTAATTTTTTAGTGTGTTAATCCACATCAGTCGGGTGGGACCATATATTGACAACTCAGCATTTTTCGTCGGTACAGTCATACCGTCAACTAACGTCGTTAACAAAATGGACGGAATTGGTTATTTTGTGTTTTCGGATAGTTATAGCTATATTTGTCACAAACGTGAAAGTTATGGCTATACAAACGTATTTTGCCATTTGATAATGGTTTTAGCTTTTCTTCATGTTTAGTTTCACATTTTTGCAGTGAAAGGTAAAAATTGTAAATTGTAAATTATATTGGAAGTTGTACTGAAAAAGTTAATAATAAACTAAAAATTTCTTATTCTCCTGTCGGAGTATTTTTTTTGTTTTTTGTTTTGTTTCACCATCGATATGGTGAAAAGGGAACTTGCTTCTTTGGTGTAAGGTTTTTTAGATGAATCATAGTCATTTCTCTTGAACATCTAAAACCTCTCATTTCCATAAGTTTCAAAAGAAAAGATAAGACATGAATTTGGCATGTGTTGGGCCCAAGATGGTTTAGGATAGGGTGCATAATGGTTATGTAAAGGTTTACGCACCCTTTCATAACTAAATATGGATCTTTGGATTTAAGTGTGCATAGAAAATCTAGATATAAGGGTTGAGAATTAAAAGTTATTTATTTAGCCTAGTTTTCTTAATCGTCTTTTATCTTCTTCGTTCTAGCTTGGATTTTTTTTTTCCACAGATGGAATGAGTTCGTTGTGCTCTGCAAAATGAGATCCATTTTCAATATTTATTGAGAAATTTTTTTCATACCTCTCGTAACCAACTCCATACCATATGGTATCTCATTCGTTTTTAAGTCGTTTTTTAAAATTTGCATACAAAGAACTAATTTATCATGATCTATTGGGTATACAAATTTCCGAGGAAAAAAAATACATTGCAAAAAATATCACCCCATACCACCCTGTTATAGGGATGGTATCTTGTGGTACACAATGTTGAAAGTCGTAAATGACAACTAGTATATTCCTACTATCATGCATTCAACCATCCTATAGTCTGGTATGTTAATACCACCATGGTACACTTTCATACCATATAGTATGCTCTTATTTAATATCAATCAATGCCATATGGTATAGACTTGTAATAAATTTCTCACTTTGTTTTGTTTCAAAAATATATCAACATGGATATCAATTTAATGTGCAAAATTAATTTGATTTATTTGTGCAAAAAAATTTAAATTCCGACTTAAAACGAGTGATAAATCATCTGTTAAAAACTAAAGGGGAAAAGGATAGAAGTCTTCCATAACTAGCAGGGAGATGCTGATGTGGCGGCTGGTGGGAGGGTTATGCACGGTTACTGATATGAAGCTTATTGACATGATCCCGTCCCTGAATGAGGAGATGTCGGTCATGCGTCACAAGGAAAATAAAAAGTTGGTTTGGTAAAAAGATGTTAAGGTTGAGTTTGTTGTGCATGAGATGTTAAAATATATTTGTTGGTCACAAGACTAGTTTGGTCCTATTGTAACTTTTGCAGAAGATGTTTTTGGTTTGACCTTTTAGAAAAGTACTTAACAAAAACAATTGAGTGTTTGGCTGAAAAACTATTAGAATTGCTTTTGAATATAAGAGGTCATGTATAATTACTAAAAAGGTTTTTAATGAAAATTATAAAAATAAAAGGTAGTCAGACTAGATTTTATTAGATTTATTTTAAATTAAATAATATTATTTTCTAATTTATTATATTTTAAAATTATATAAACGAAATAAAATTACATTTTCGCAATAAAATTTAAATACAATAAGGAGACCCTCTGTCCCCTCATCTTTTTTCCATTGCAATGGAGGTTTTTACTTGCTTAATTGATCAATCAGCATCTAGTGGTCTATTCCCTTATCATCATATGTGCAAAGGTGTTAAACTTACACATCTATGCTTTGCGGATGATGTTTTGGTCTTCTCGGATAGGTCAAACTATGGTATTTAAGAATTGCAACGAGTTCTGGATCAATTAAAGAGGGTTTCTGGGCTAAAATATAATCCTAGCAAATGTGAGGTCTTCTTTGGGGGAATTGAAAGGGCAGAGAGGCAACTCAGGCCTGCTAGATTTGGCTATAAGTTTGGTGAGTTTCATGTTCGTTATCTGGGGGTTCCCCTAATATCAGGGAAGCTTAGTTTGTCTCATTGATAAAATGGTTAAGAAGATAAAGAGTTGGCAAGCGAAGGCACTTTCTTATGCTGGAAGAATTGAGCTTGTGGGCACAGTATTGTACAGTCTCACTCAGTTCTGGATGTCAGTTTTCCTTTTGCCTAAGTCTGTCATCAAGGAAGTAGAAAAGATTTGCAGTAACTTCATATGGGGGGTTGGAGCAGGTTTAAAACTCAGAGCAAATGTGGTTTGGCAGAAGGTTACCTATCCTAAAAAGGAAGGGGGTCTGGGTTTCAGGGATCTGTTGAGTTGGAATCAGGCTTGCATGACTAGGCATTTGTGGCTGATTCTTATGCAGGAAGGTTCGCTTTGGGTTGCCTGGATCAACAAGTACAAGCTGAAGGGTAGGGATCTTTGGAGCTACTCATGCAATTCAGGGTCCTGGAATTGGCACAAGATGCTGAAGTTGCAGGGTAAAATTATATCATTTATTTCGCTTAGGGGAAGTCAGCTCCTTCTTAACAACTCCCCTATGCCTGTTTTCTCTATTAAGCGAATTTGGCAACTCCTGCGGCCTGTTTAACAGACTGTAGGATGGTGGGAACTGGTTTGGAAGGGGAAGGCCATTCCTAGGAACAGAATTGTCACTTGGCTTGTTATTAGAGGGAGCATCAACACTAAAGTGAAGATGCAGCGTTGGGGGTATAGTGGAAGTCTAACCTGTGGTTTGCGTGGAGTTGGGATGGAGAACAGAGATCACATTTATGCTCTCTGCCCGTTTGCAAGACAACTTATAGATGCCATATTTTCCAGGTTTATGCAGGTTCCTTCGTTGCAGGGGTGGGAAGATGTGCTGACTTTGATGGTGTCCAAATTTGGAGGTGCTTCTGAGGCTGCCGAAACTGGGTGGATAATATGGCAAGCATGGGTGAGTCACATAAGGAGGGAACGGTGTCGTCGTTTGTACTCAGCTAAAGTGAGGGATTATAACACATTGTTGAGGGTGATTCAATATGAAATTGAATGTTTCCTAGGTAGTCGTAGAGTTCACCTATTCTGGGATAGTTAGCTATCTTTATCTGTTTGCTGCTCTTGAGTGTTTAGGCTTTTTCATTGTCTTTGAGATATGAGTATTAAACCTAGCTAGCAAGGTTTGTTGCTAGCACCACTCTTTTTGATGAATGAAACCCACCAATTCATAAAAAAAAGGATAATATTGTATTTTCAAAACCGTTTTTCCGAAGAAGCTCCAAATCGGAGCTTTTTCTTTTGTGTTATATAAAAACACTTTTCAGCTTTTCAAAAATTTGGTTTTTAGAAGTGTTTGTCTATGCTTCAACTTTTAAAGCACAAAAGCACTTCTAAAAACAAAGCCAAACATAGGCATAGTCATTTGAACATAACATATCATATGTATTCTAAAATTTTAATTATGTTTTGGTAGATAAGGAATGCTGAAAGAACATTCTTACCTGGCACTTAAATTATAGGAGAGTTAAATGCATATGTGGCCCCTAAACTATAAGGTGTTTTCTATTGAAGTCCCTGAACTATTATTTTTCCTATGGTAGCCCCTGATTTATCAAAATTTTCCTAACGAAATCCCTACTGTTACCAGGCCATTAAAGTTCCGTTAAATTGGGTCATTAGCTGATGATTTGGCGCTGAGTAAGCACCCAGTCAGCATAAAATTCCCCTAAGTGACCATTTTAACCCCAAATTAATTTAACACACACGCCTATTACAAAACACAAACAATATTTACCCATAACTCCCATGAACGTTCCATTTTCTGGTTTCGCTATCATACAGATCAAACCCTATTTCTTTTATTTCCATCGAGGGTTGCAGCCGCCAAGCTCCAACGGTGGTGAGACGAGCTTCAACAACGCCGGTTCAGCGAGTTCCATGACAACTTGACGATTTCGGACAACGACGTCCAGGTGCGAACACATAGAATTGCGGCTAGCAATAGTCGCCGATCGGGATCATTGACGGCGATCAGTGGCTACAAACATTGACAAACAAGCTATAATTAGCGTTGAGGTGGGTTCCCATTCAAATCACTTGTTCAGCCCCACCATTCTTTTTTGCTGAATTTTCGAGTAAACTAATGCATAAAATCATTAAACTGATATAGGTAGGATTAAACTGATACTTTTATGATGAACTAATGCTTGGCTATTGGAATTCATAGGCTTGTTCATTTGAGATGGAAAAAGGGTACGAGAATATGGGAAAGGGAAAACATGGGATTGAGAAAGGTAGAGATGAAGAGGCTACTGGGGGCTTTGAAGAAGTGAATGGAGAAGAAGGTAAGCTAGTTGCAGTTTCTTCAGTGTTTGCTTTTATATATTCAATAATTCTGGTTTTGTTTTACTCCTCTTCTTTGAAGATAACCACCGTACAACTTGTTGGATGTTATACGCGTTCTCAGTTCTCACCATGGAGCGGATTGCTAAAAAACAAGAGGCGGCTTCTAAATGGACTTCCCCATTTTGTCCGATGATAATGAAGAAGCTCGAGACTAATGCAAAAGAAAGTAGGATATGTCGAATTGTGACTTGTGGGAATCATGAGTATGAGGTGAACCATGGTGACGAAAGATACAAACTGAGACTTAGAGCTGAGATGTGTTCATGCAGAGCTTGGGATGATTGAGTGGGATCCCTTGTCCCCATGCTATCACGTGTCTTGTGTATGAGGGTAAAGATCCTGTGGATTACATTTCCAACTGGTACTCTGTGGCCAAGTACAACGCCACTTACTCGAACACCATGTCAGGGACGGACGGACCAAGACAGTGGGTGCCAGTTAATTTGGATCCGATTCAGCCACCCCCATTCAGAGCAATGCCTGGCAGGCCAAAAAAGAAGAGAAGGCTTTCCGCTGATGAAATATTGCAGAAAGACAAGAAAAACCCTCACAAGTTAAGCAGGGTGAATCAGATCATCTTTTGTTCAAAATGCAAACAATCTGGGCACAACTCACATACTTGCCCAACAAAGAATGCTCCACCAGTGGTAAGTTAAAGTGAATTAAGTTCATTTGAATGGATGTACTGTGAGGATTTGTTTTAAGTACTACATGTCTTTGTTAAGTTGAAGTTGAAGAGTTCGACATAGGATAACAAGAATAGCACCAATGTGTAAAGCATAGTGTTTAAGTGTTTTTTTCACATACTTAATTCATTTTCAGGCTTGTGCAACGTCTGTTGGAGAATCGCAAGGACCTACTGGACCTTCTAATGGGACTGTTGCTGAAACTCTTAATATACCTGCTGGAAGAGGAAGAGGAAGAGGAAGAGGAAGAGGAAGAGGGAGAGGGAGAGGAAGCGGTAGGGGAATGGGGAGATGAAGATGGTTACGTACTATTCTAGTGACAGAATATTATATAGTCTCATTGTCAGCTTTTTCTTCAGATATTTCCTTTTGTCCTCTTACGAATATGAATGTCTGGTAGTGGGATTTTATATGTGGCTACAATTCAACTTGCAAGAAACTCCAGGAAACAAGCATATATTAATGTGACCTATTTCCCATTTCAACTTCTTTGATAAATATATAATTTTTGTATATTGTGATATACATTTGGCAGTGAGGTATTGCTTTATATCAATTGTGATAAAGGAAACGTAAGTGGGGATCGTTCATGGGAGTTATGGGTAAATATTGGTTTTTTTTTGTAATAGGCGTGTGTGTTAAATTAATTTGGGGGGTAAAATGGTCACTTAGGGGAATTTTATGCTGACTGGGTGCTTAGTCAGTGCCAAATCAACAGCTAATGACCCAATTTAACGGAACTTTAACGGCCTGGTAACAGTAGGGATTTCGTTAGGAAAATTTTGATAAATCAGGGGCTACCATAGGAAAAATAATAGTTCAGGGACTTCAATAGAAAATACCTTATAGTTTAGGGGCCACATATGCATTTAACTCATTGTGGCTAATACCCATAGTTTTCTCATGCTCCTCCCTCACTCGGCAAAATAAAGGTAACATTTAACATATTTGGAATAGGTGTATGTATGAGATACTAAGAAGGTCCTCACCATACAAGATAAGATCAACTAATGCATAAAATTGCTTCCGATCGAAATGTCATGTTTGACGATATAGGCATAGGAATCCAACTCAAAGTCGACTAGAAATCGTTCAAAAGTCTATTGTCTCTACATAAAGGTCCCTCCACATAGACCGAAGTATATTTAGAGGGAAAGAAAGAAAGAAAAAGAATATGTCCTCAACTTGGCCTGTCAATGATGCCAAAAAATTTTAAGTTGGTAAAACCCAAAAAAGTACCAAAAATCAGTGTGGGGTCTGTTGACCCTGACACGCCTCGTTTTTGTTTGGTTAATAATAAGAGGACCTGGTTCAACGAAAAAGAAAGTACCAAAAAAGAATAAAGGTTATTGGAAAAGTGAGAAAATGAACCGCAAAAGTGATTGTTCCTCCTAGCCAAAACAGTCAAAATCAGGATTTTACCTAAAATCGAAAACTGATGTAAAATCAAAATTCTAAAATCGAATCATAAAATCGTAGGATTTTAAGTTCCATATGGAAACTAACATATAATCATATTAATAAGGTAAATCATTTAATAACACAAAGACACATAACATTTAAAATGATAATTCACAAGATTAATGTTCCAAATCATCATTTTAATTTTAATTTAATGCATAACCCAAAATACTTCACGAGGAAAGGATAGAGCTCATGGGACTTAGCTCTTGTTTTCATGTTGTTTTTAGGTAGTTTAACTCAAATTAGTACTTCGGCCCGATTAATTTCAACATTGTCTGCTAATCATGATTTAAAACTAAGAATAAACTCCAATAGAATAATTAATGCTAGTGGTTGATAAAAATATAATCATTAATTGTTAATAATGATGTTAATTCTTACGTACGTGCAATATTAGGACAACTATTTTACCGATGAGTTCAACCGGACGAAGGGAAAGGGATTGACCGAACCCTAATTTGATTTTTTTTTCTTTTCAAATGGTTTTTAATAAAAAAATATACGAGAAGATGCCCATCATTGTCCTTTCTGCCGAAGCAGATTCACTTTTTTTAAATGTTCTCAAACCGCCCATTTTGTTCTCATATGATTTAAATCTCGATTTTGGTAAGATTTTACGATTTTATTCCAGATTTTAAACGATTTTAAGGTCCACCGATTTTATAGTAAAATAAGGATCGGAATCCCTACGTAAAATCTTAAATTTCTACGATTTTACGATCAAAATCCTGATTTTGACTACTTTGCTCATAGCTAGACCGAGAACCTAGGTTTGCGCCAATCTTTTTTCACTTGAGAACATTTTGTTTAGGATTTTCATAGTAAGTTAAACATGATCATGGATAGTTGAGATTTCTCTAGCCATTTGTGCTCCTTCTTCAACAGCTCACATTGGGTGGAGGAGGTTTAGAGGCATTGAGTTAGCACGTTTTGATCACATGTTTACTTGGGGACAAGCAAACACATAAGTGCATGGGGATTTGATAACACATAAAATAGGTGTACCGGCCTTAAAATTTTGAATTTTTCATGACCTTGCGGTAAATTATCCTTAAACTGATATATTTTATTCTAAGAATGTTTCATCATTAATATGGAAAATATTAGGGCATGCAATGTGAGGGTTTAGGTAATTTTGGAGCCAAGTATAGGAAACAAATATAAGGAGGAGCAAAAAAGGGAGTTCACGGTTTCTAGAAAGTTCACGGCCTCTTCTAGTTGTTGCACCACTACTCTTGTTTCCATAAACAAATATATTCTTCCTAGACTCTTCGAACGATAGATCATGTTTACGAGTAATCGCAATCCAAATTTGAACTTTGTTGAAGTACATTTGATGACTTGAAGGCATGTCAACTTATTATGTCAAATGTGATGTGCCTGTGGCCATTTACACAAATTATTTTATTTTTGTTATTTGATAACGCAAAATATAGAGACAATAAATCAAAATTAAAACATATGATAGAATATTTATATTAAGAAAATAATTTAAAACAAAACATATAGAAAGAACACATTCATTATTATCTATACAGTGGTATCTATCTTGTTATCTTTTGTTAAACATAAAATCTCATACCCACATAACATTGTCCAACATAAGACCTCATACCAATTTCATATCACTATCATATCATCATCATATCAATATTTTAACACTATCATATCAACATCATACCACTACTACCATCCTACTGTCACTGATAATATCATGATATGTTAACTCAGTTTGTACGTAATTTCAAAATACATACATAAAATATAACGAGTTAAATAATTTAATAACGATTTGTAACTTAATCTCAATTATCTTATTTTAATTTACCAAAGGATATATTAATACTTAAAGATTGGTTATAAAAAAACCCATCTCTTCATAGCAGAACAAACATAAAAGTTGGATATAATAAAAAAGGATAATAGTATTTTATACCCTTCTTGCTATTACAAGTTAACAACTATACCTCTATAATTTTATTTTGCACAAACATACCCCTCTACTATTACAAGGTAACAAATATAACCTTCATCCTCATTTCCGTCCGCTGGCAGTTAAAAAGCTTGAAAAATGACTGTATCATCCTTTTGTTTGACAATTATTGCCCAACACGTTTTCATTTGAAAAGGAAAATAAAAAAATAAAATAATTATCTTCCCTCCCATTGGCGAATACCCCTAACCAGTAACCATTATGTTTCTCTCCTCGTAAACAACCTATCATCGTCATCTAGTTCATGACTTGGGTCTCCATGACCCAGGGTACCAAGGGGATCAGTTTACCTGGACCAACAGGCGTATGGGGGAGGCGTGTATTCGCGAACGGCTGGATAGGGCCCTCTGTTCCCAGTCCTGGATAGATACGTTTCCTGAGACTTTGATAAAACATTTTACGGATCAGGGGTCAGATCATCGTGCTCTCCTTCTTGCTGACAAGCCTTACACTCGAAATAGCCGACCCCTGTTCCGGTTCGATGCTCGTTGGGCGGAGAATCCGGAAGTTAGGGCTATGGTCCATTACGTCTGGCAGGAGGAATTGCAAGGTACCCCCATGTTTAGACTCTGGGAGCGCCTTAAGAAGCTCCGTCATCTGCTATATGATTGGATTAGGGCGGGCACCACAAACTCCTTGCGAAATATTAAGACACTCCAAGCTGAGATTGACCGCGTCAAGTCCATCCATCCGGTGGATTGGGATGCGGTTCGATCATTGGAAATGGAACTATCTCGTCAGTGGGATGCAGAGGAGTTATATTGGCAGCAAAAATCCAGGGTCCGTTGGCTAAAGAAAGGGGACCAAAATTCAGCGTATTTCCACACGGTTACGCGTACGCGTCGGAAAAGAAATTTTGTCGCTGGTTTGCGGGATGAAGAAGGGGAATGGGTTACGGACGAGAGTGGGAAGTCTAGGATTGCTACCAGCTTTTACCAAACTCTGTTCACTTTGGAGTCCCAGGTGCCCAATATGGCGGAGAGGGTGGCAAGTCTCCCCATTCCTCAACTGGTTACACCGCAAATGAATGAGAGCTTAACGGCGGTGGTTTTACCAGAAGAAGTTCGGAAAACTGTTTTTTCCATGGGATCGAAGCAGGCTCCGGGTTCGGATGGTTTTACCGGAAAATTCTTCAAAGCATTTTGGGATGTGGTGGGTGTCTCGGTGATTGAGGCGGTTTGCTCTTTCTTTTCGACTAGTCGAATGTTACGGAGCTTCAATCATACGTGGCTTACGTTGATCCCTAAGGTGGATTCTGTGGAAAATGTTCCCCAGGTGCGTCCGATCAGTCTCTGCCAATTCGTTTATAAAGTGATAACCAAGATCATGGCAGAGCGGCTTGCTGGCTTCCTTCCTCAACTTGTTTCTGAGGGGCAGAATGGGTTTATCAAGGACAGGCAGATTATTGATAATGTCCTTCTTGGGCATGAGTTAATGCATTATCTTAAAATAAAACAACAGGGGAAGAAGGGGTACATGGCTCTAAAGGTTGACATGGAAAAGGCCTATGATAGAGTTGAATGGCCTTTCCTTCTGGCTGTTTTGGATAAGATGGGTTTTAACTCGGTCTGGCAAGGATGGATACACGAGTGTCTTAGCTCTGCTACTTTTTCAGTTTTGATGAATGGTACACCTTCGGGCTTTTTCAGGTCCTCTCGGGGACTCAGACAGGGGGATCCGTTGTCACCTCTCTTGTTTGTGCTTTGCACGGAGGGATTTGCGGCTCTTCTTCGGAAGGCTATTTCTGAAAAAAAGTTGGAGGGGGTGAAGGTGGCGCCGCGTGCTCCTCGGATCTCGCACTTGTTTTTCGCTGATGATTCCTATCTATTCCTCCGAGGTTCGCTTCAGGAGTGCGAAAACCTAATTGTGGTGCTAAATGAGTATGAGGAGCTGAGTGGGCAGCGGGTTAATCTGGAAAAATCGGCAGTCTGCTTTAGCAAAAATGTTGCCTTGGAGGATCAGGATTTTTTGGCTGCGATTCTTGGGGTCGGAGCAGTAGGGGTACATGATAAGTATTTGGGATTGCCCACGTTGATTGCTCGATCCAAAATGGAGACATTTCGATATCTGGAGGAGAAATTACTGGCGCGCCTGCAGGGCTGGAAACAGAAAATTTTATCCTGGGCGGCTAAGGAGACCTTAATTAAATCAATTGCTTTGGCTTTGCCCCTGTATGTTATGTCTTGTTTCCGGTTGCCCCTCTCCCTTTGTCGTTTATTGGATAGACATGTGGCCCGCTTCTGGTGGGGTGCTGAGGAGGGGCACTCCAAGATTCGGTGGGTGTCCTGGAGGAATCTTTGTCGGAGTAAGCATGAGGGAGGACTTGGATTTCGTCGGTTTGAACATTTTAATCAGGCCCTCTTAGCAAAGATTGGCTGGCGTATTCTCCAAGAGCCGCAATCCCTCCTGGCGCAGGTGTATAAAGGGAAGTACTTTCCGCACGGATCTTTTCTATCTGCTACTGCCCGGTCTAGGCCGTCTTGGGGTTGGCAGAGTATCCTGTTTGGGCGCCAACTTTTGGAGGCAGGGTTGAAATGGCAGATCGGAAATGGTCTTTCGGCCTCCCTGCTACATTCTAAATGGATTCCTGGGTTTCAACTGGATCTTCCTTGCTATAATCCTCGTGTCCTGCCAAATGGGGGGGATCCCCTGGTAGCGGAGGTTATGTGTCAAGGGGAAGGGCGCTGGGATGAGAATAAGCTTAGCCAATGGTTTGATCCTTCTGCCTGTCGGGCCATTAAAGCTATCCCACTTCCGAGGCGGAGTGTGGATGATAAAATTATATGGAATAGCACTGCTGATGGGGTTTTCTCTGTTAAGACAGCATACCATCTGGCTGTTGAGCTTGACAGGAGGAGGGGTGGGTGGCGAGACTCGGTGAGCTGGATGGATAGGCAAAGCTGGATTCGATTATGGGAAGCTAAAATTCCTCCAAAGCTTAAAATCTTTGTCTGGCAAATTTTGAATCGAGCCTTGCCAACCTCAGAGGCGCTCAATGAAAAGAAGATTCATGTGCTCCCCCGATGTCCGGTTTGTTGGGATGGTCCCGAGACTATGGAGCATTTATTTCTTTACTGCCCGGTGGCGAGGGCTCTCTGGGATTTATCGGGGTTGGAGTATTTAGGTGAGGCTTTGCCTCGGCACACTTTTCCACTTTTTCTGAAGCGGATGCTTGCCCTAGTCCATGATCAATCGCTGTTTATGGCGGTGGTAGCCATCCTTTGGCGGATCTGGCATTCGCGAAACTGGGTTGTCTTTGAGGGCAAACAGTTTGGGTTTCCGGCGTTAATGCGCCAATTTCAGCAGCAAGTTGAGGAGTGGATGGGGCTGCCGGTAGACCAGCAGTCACGGGTGTCGTGCCGGGTAGTCCAGCCAGGGATCCAAATGGATGATGCTGGGTTGGTTTGCATGTGGATGGGGCAACTAGGAGGGGTTCACATTCGGCTGGCGGGATGGTTCTTTTTGGTCCGGGAAGGACAGTCCTTCGGGCTAAAGGTGTGCAATTTGCTCAAATTGATGATCCAATGGTGGTGGAATTACTTGTGTTGCGTGAGGCGATCACTTGGTGTTTAGGGTGGGGTTTGTCCGGTGTTCGGTTCGAGGGTGATGCGAAGGTCATTATTGACAAGATTAATCAGGCCGATTCGCGGGACAATCGCTTGGGGGCAGTCTTGGACGAGATTTGTCAATATTTTGCTGCCTATCCAGGGTTTTCTGTGCGGTTTATAGGTCGGGAGAACAATAGGGTAGCACATTTAGTTGCTAGAAAAGCCCTTTCTTTGTACCCAACTGGGAACCGTGGTTTCGATTTCAGGGCCTGGCTGTTCTCCAGGATGTAACTATTGTTTTGATTGATTAATATATATTATCTTTTGAAAAAAAAAAAAAAACAACCTATCATCTATCATCGTCGCCAATCTGATTCTACCCCCAACCCTCCAATTTTCTATCCTCGCAAACCAACCACCATATGACGGAACCAAATTGAAACTCTGACGGCTCTCACGTCTCAGCTACCCCTGTTAGAAACTCCAAACCACCGCCGAATAAGTTCCAGAAATCAAGGGAGCTTCTGATTTTAGAGAAGGAACCATCGTCGAAGAATCAGCGATGGGGCCGGTATATTACAGCGGTTCAAATGATACCAGATCTAAAGCGGAAAGTTTGAAAGAGGAGAGCCTGCAGATTGTCGTCTCTATTTTGTCGGCGACGGCTGTTCTACAGTTTCGATTGAGAAGAGGCGGAGAAGGTTGCGATTTGTTTATGGTTTTGTTGCCGGCACGTGGAGGTTGCAGTATGAGAGGCGACATAGATAGAAGAGGAGTGAGATGCAATTCATCCGGCGGCGGTTTGAGTTCCGGTTGGGGTAGCTGGGACGTGAGAAGGCTGCATTTTTGCGGCAGTGATTACTCAGGGCGGCCGGTGGTTGCAATAGGGAAGGAATATAACGAGCATACTAATAATAATTAATTAATTAATTAATTCTATGCTTTGACGGAAATGGTAAGATAATCGACAATAAATGGATATAATAGTAATTTTTGTAAACCTTTTAACGGTTAACTGACAAAAATATAGATGAAAGGTTATATTTGTTACGTTGTACTAACTATGAGAAATTTTACAATGTTATATAGTATTGGTGCTATAGGTTTTAGTCTTTATAATACAACTTACAATTGTACATTTACGTTATGGTACAACTTCATATTGTACCTATACTTTTTGTACAAATTCTTTTATGGTACAACTTAAACTTGTACCTTATGTGATGGTACAACTTCAAGTTGTAAAGTTGTACCATAACATAAGGGTAAAAATTGTTTTATGGTACAACCTAAACTTATACATTTAATGTTATGGTACAACATAAGGGTAAAAATTGCTTTAAGTTGTACATTAAAGTACCAATACTATATAGCATAGTAGAAGTGCCCCTAACATAGAGGTATGTTTGTTCAAAATAATTATAGAATAGTACATTTGTTAAATTGTAATAATAGAGGGTTATAAAATGCTATTAACTCTAATAAAAAACCCATATATTTCGCATCTTCCCTCGCTTCTTCCATTTTTTAGATATGCACGTTGCCCTTCTCCTACCCCACCTCTGATCGCCTGCATCTACCCCACATCTTTGGCTGCCATTATCTTCCGCTCCCTTGTCGTCTTCTTCTTTCCAAAGTTCAAATCTACGGGAGGAACCAAATGGTCAGATCTAATCGACGATTAATATATGAACCTCTCACCATCAATTTCTGAAAGGCTTCTAACTAAGACTCGAAATTGGAGCTCTTGTCGCTGTGCCCATCCATGGTAATCAGAAAGTGAACTTTCTCAACTTATTATTGATTCTTTTTTTATCCTTTCCCTCCGATATTTATCCCTATGGCAGGTCTGTTAGAGAAGAGAAGTGCGACGAACATTGCAATAGTTATGGATTGCGATGTATTGGGAGATTGGAAGGAACGACTGCGTTTCCAACTGACCCGGAGCGGAGCTGGGCTGAGCGGGCCAACCGTTTGGTTACTCCGAGTTTGACTTTTCCGGGTATTAGTGTTGTGGTATATGATCCACGATTGAACCTCTCCCAATGACTCGAGTTATTGGGACTATCTGGTTCTTGACATGGTATCAGAGCCTTCTATGACCGAGAGGTCTTGTGTTCGATTCTCGGTGACCCCCATTTGTTAAGCACATGGAATTATTGTCTTCATACCTGTGCAAACTTCAAGCCCTTGTGAGTGGCTTTCGTTTGAGGGGGCGTGTTAGTGTTGTGGTATATGATCCACGATTGAATCTCTCCCACCAACTCGAGTTATTAGGACCAACTAGTTCTTGACATCCCTAAAATGGGTGTGTGGAACCCATTTTAGTCACCGTGTCCGGGCAAACCCGAGTCAACCAGCGAGCCGACCCGCGAGTTGACAACCTTGTATCACTGTCATATTAACACCATATCAATATTATACCACTATTCTATCAGCTTGCGAGATTAGGCAACAGTAACTCAACTTCTTCTTTCAAAATGTAAAATGTACATTATATAGTAACTAAGTTGTAATTTAATTAAATTTGGGTGTGAAAATGTAAAAATAATAGTTGCCCAATCAGCTTGCGAGATTAGGCAACAATAACTCAACTTCTTCTTTATATATATTAACTAGGTGGTGATGTCGCGCCTTGACGCGCAATGGAGATGACCTATGCGCATGTATTAAGTGGCCCGTTATGGTGTTTTGTTAGTATTATTGGCCTAAACTTATTTTTTTTGTCAGCAATTTAGTTAGTAATATTGACTGAGAAAAGATATATGGCGGTTATATTCAATTTAATTTTTTTTTGAAAATTTTGGCTAGTAAATGATCCTTACCTAAACCCTAGTAGGCCCATTGATTATGGATAGGGTATGGGTGACGTATGTATATATGTGTTTGGAAGTTAGTAGATCGGTTTGGGTAGGGTATGTATATTTACTTCCATAATCTAAATTTGTATGAGTTGGGTATGGATACCTATTTATTCGAGGGTGCTTTAATTACACATACAAAAATTAGACCTGTATGTAGAACTTCAAAAGTTTAGGTACCAAAATATAATTCACAAAAATTTTAGGTACTAAAATGTAATGTTCCATCAATATTTTGAGGACTTATATGCCAAAAAAATTAATTTAGATTATAAATCTAAAGATTTATTAAGTTTAGGTACAAACTGGAACTCGCTTAAAATTTCACGCATTCAAATCTCATAGTGGAAAATGACGACTTTCTAATGAGTAATAACCATATATATTTATTTTTAATTGGACTTGACATGAGCTAAAAAAGTTAGTGGTCATGGTTCAATTTTTAATTTTCTAGACTGTTGGTGAGTCGTGTATGGACCCGTTCATACTTTTGATTAGAATACATAGTATACCATTACAAAAAAATAAAATACATAGTATACTAATTAGGATTACACGAAGAAGACAAAGAAATAAATAAAGAAAGGGTTATGGAAGGCGAGTGAAAATCGAAATGAAGAGGAAGTAGATGATGGAAGGTTTTGATCAATTCTTTTAGTTGGCCGTCAATATAACAGCCAACCCTTTTCACCGTAGCAATTTATTGACGCTTGCTTATATCGATGTCGCATATTTTGTTGCATTTAGTTAGTAGAAGTTTGTTTAGTATCTCGTAATTGTACTAAATGAGTTTATAAATTCGCTCATGTTATATTATTGAGTCGTCTCGTTTTCATGAATATTTCACGTTATGAGCAAATATAAAAGGGTTGAGTCTTCTCTTACAATTGAGTGGTACAACATCTTGTATTGTACATAGTAAATGTGTACTTTTATATTATGGTGAATTGGATTCATGGATTAGTTCAAAAGAATTGGTGCGTTGGATTCATGGATTCAAATAAAATCTAAACATTGACCATTATGTATATTTAAAAAATTCTAGGTACGAAAATCTCATAAAATTTAGATACCAAACATAATTGTTCAATGGTTTTATACTAAAAATTAAATTTGGGTATCAAAATGTAAAATGTACATTATAGTGACTAATTTGTGATTTAATTAAATTTGGGATATTAGTTGCAAAAATCTCATAAAATTTAGATGCCAAACATAATTCATAAAATTTAGATACAGACATAATTGTTCAATGATTTTATATTTAAATTAAATTTGAAGTATCTAAATTTAAAATGTACATCATAGTGATTAAATTATGATTTAATTAAATTTTGGATATCAAAATGTAAGTGGTTATGCAACAATAATCCAAATTTATGTTTATATATATATTGATAGTATTGAATCAACAACAGATTCGAAATCTGTAAATGAAAGACAATTCGGGTCGATAATAAATGTCAGTATCTGTTTGTAGTATGTGAAACGATCCTGTGAGCAATAATACTCTTCTCGGAAATTAGTAAGGACGGGAAATGTGGTATAGCGAGTGAATCATCGGTTGATCCATTTTGTTTATGATTCAATGAGAAAAACGAGTTACATTTATTTGTGGGTTGATCGGATCCAAGGTTAACGGATTAGAGGCCATTCGATATCATTTTTGTCTTTGATTTGTGAAATGCACATATTTTTTTATTTTCGTCTTCACCTAACCCTATCTTTGAAATTGTAAGTTGAGCATTTGAATATTGATGTTATAAAAATTTGTGTAAATTTATTTCAGTATGTGTTGGATCCAAATACAACCTGTTATTTTAATGTCATGTTATATATTATTGCTCATGTGTTAAATAAAATTTTATATAATTTATAAATGTATGGACAATATAATGATTTTTTTTCATACATCCAAGCGAAAACGGGCTACTATTAACTTTCAATCTACTTACTCGACCGGACCTACAGGCTAAACCAACTAGACAACCAAAGAAGAGGCGATTCGTTTCGTGGGGACTTAAACCAATATTGGAAACGAAGGAACACATGGACATAAGATTTAGTAACCTTGCCTGCCCCATTCGCTATTGATTTCACATGCCTATGCTATGGTATGGCCCTCCACTATTACATTAATGGCTGTAACTACTCAACAGTTGTATTAATCGCAACCTCTCCAAATTCACAACCCAAGCATTAAATGAGCAATGGCGCGTTAACATTTCACACATAATCCATTTAACATTACAAACCTTTTTCAAATTCTTTTATTTTATCCAAACCTATTAAAATGCTATTAATTATCCAAATCTTTCGTAATGAATCAAAATATTAACTATTTTTCCGTTATTGTTAATAATTTTGTAACTCTTTTCTTAATTAAAATACTAAAATTTTGTAATGTTGACCTTCATGTGGCTCTTCCAAATCAGTATCATGTTGCCAAGTCAATATTACTAACAAAATTGCTAACTGAAAGTTAACATTTTGATAGGTTTGGCTAATAAAAAAGAATCCCAAAAAGATTTGGATAAAAAATAGACATTGCTAAAAAAGTAATCCATTCATAAGTCGTGATGCAAGGAATATGTGTGAGATATGACAATCCAATTAACTTTAATGTGAACACTACAAGGTTGTCGAACCGATTTTTTTGAAAGAAATAGGTTTTGCCTATAGTTGAACCTTAGACCATCTTTAGTGATTAGATCTAAATGTCCAAAATTTAAGGCTATAATTCAAATTCTAGCCCCTCAAAAGGGGTTTTGGCATTAGTAGTGTGTTCCAAAAGTCCAAATTTCCAGATTTGCGCTTTAACTCATAATCCAGTTTTGTATATATTTCATCATCCTAATTACAAAATTTTTCATTAACTTTATATAGGTACTATTAATTAATTAAGACGAACATTTCGACAATTTTTTTTAATTCTAACAAAAAAAAATTATTTATAAATATAACTTAATTAATGATGTTCTCTTGTTTGGACCGAAAGAGTCGTTGGAGGAGATTGTGGGTGCTAAAAGATAAAGTACTTTCTTTTTTTTATTATTATTAA